CAACGCCCGGCCATTTTTTTTTGGTTGCAGCCATCATTGTTGTTTGGCGGGTCCGGGCTGGGGATTCGAACCCGCCACCTCAGGTGTACGTGGCTGGCGCCCCAGCCGGCTGAGCCACAGGCGCCGAGCCGACTCAGTAGGCTCTTAATTTCGCTGCTGCTTCCTAAAGCCTGTAGGAGGAAGAGACCCTGGCCTGAGGCAAAGAGAAGAAAGGATTGTTGCTCTCACTCTGGCATTCCCTGCTCAGGGGCTGGACCTTTGGTCTGACAGGGCAGCTTGACCCAAGCTGTCCTCTGGCTTCAGTCACTTGCTTTCTGGGGTCGGGCTCACTTCTTCCTCTGCTCTTAGTCAGCAGGAAGCATTTTCTTCCTTTCACGTGCTTGCAGGGTGCTGGCTGCTCTGCTGTGTCCCCTCACCCACCTCCCTGCGGTTGAGGTTCACCAAAGTCATTCAAGTGACTCTCTGTCGCCTTCTCTGGTCTTTCATGGTCTTAAATCCTCCTCCTAAGGTGTTCTGTGCTGACTGCTGAAGGCTGTGGTTTCAACAAAGCCGGGTGGCCAGGACCTGTGACGCAAGCCCTCACAGCGCAGCCCAGAATAGCCTCAGCTCTGCTGCTTTTCCAGCTGCCCTATCACTTTGCAAGCTGGGATCTAATTTGCTGTCCACCCTCTCCACCCCAGTCTGTGAGCCAGTACCACTTTCTTTGCCCATGAAATATTTATAATCACAGATTATGTTTCTCTCTGAGTATAAACTTGCTTTTGTTTTTTTCCCTTCAGCTGCTACCCTGACAGGTCAAAGTGCTTCATCTCTCTAGATTCATAAACTTCATCAGTTTCTTTGCTGAAGTGTCCAGCTCCTCTCATGCTTTGACTCCTGCTAGACTGCTGCTGAAGAAATCTGGGGGAAGGAGCTCTAGGTCAGCAGTTGTAGTTGCAAGTACTGGGTTCCAGACAGGACCCTGCTGTTAGCCAGCCATTTGGCTTTGGGCAAGCCATAGCCTTTTGGGGATGTGGAGCTATTGTAGGAGGGCTTGGTGCTCAGAAGACCTGGCCAGCAAGGGTGATTCCTGAGGACCAGCTTGACATTGACTAGGCCCCAACCACCTTGTAGGGCATGCCTTGGCTGCAAATGGAGATTTGGCCAAAGTGTCCTACCACCATCAACCCTCATGAAGCCAACTACCTCTAGCAGAGGTGTGCAGGCCACTTGCTGTGTGATAGATGGTTCCCTCCTGAATATAAGACAGAATTCACCTAAGGTATGCCTCCTCCTGTGTCAGAATGAGGAGAGCCCTTCCCTCAGTAGGGAGCCAGCGGCCCCTGGGGGCAAGATTCCACAGCTTTCACTTAGACCTCACCTGTGCACAGCCTCCTTAGAGTCCTTGCTCAGTCCTCTCATTGTCTCTCTTGGCTGCTTTTCCTGTTTTCACATGTTCTTTCACAGTGGCTGAGAACTCTTGTTTTTGACAAAAATTGCATGATATTGAGAGCAAATGCTTAACTGAAATTCAAATCTGTACTAGAACCTGCATTTCTTTTTATCTTGTAATTTTGTAATTCAATCTTTTTAAAAAAGTTGTGGGACTTTGTTTTCTTCTTTTCTACCTGGAGGATGGTTATGGATCACAATCCACTTCTCCTTGGCATTTTGGATACTTTCTTGCTGAATTATTTAGCAAAATAATCACTTGGGTTTCCTGGGCTTAAAGCAGTGATGAGTTTGCTTCTCAACTTTCAGCATCAAGCCACTGGTTCCCAGCCAGATTTGAGAGAAAAGTGATAGCGTGTTG